CAATCGATCTACTTGAAAGCAGTATATATCTTCAGATCCTTAGCTCACTTTTTGCCGATAGCCTTTTTTTAAAAAAATAAAAAGTGTGAATTACTATTGCTATAGGCACTAAAGGGGCGCACATGTACAAAAATTTACAAATCAATCAAATTATCCACAAGGTTCGCTAACTCTTCCATAGAAAAAAGAAAACCCCGTAACAAAAAACTAAAGGTCTAGAACCATCTATTCTTTAAAATATCCAAATCATCAGCATCCTCAACCCTATCCAAAACCCTCTTATTCCTTGCCTTCCACACCACCCAAATACAGTTAATGGGATATCTCCACATGTTTCCTACAGCCACTAATGCCCCTTGAAGCCCAAATTTCACCCTTCTCCTTCCACTTTTGGCCTGATAACATTATGTTCCATCAATGACAACCAAATTGATTACATATAGCTGTCTTTATAAGACATCTAGATCAGATGTAATTGGATTAGACTAGGCTTTTCTTAGATTCTCAACATTGTAGTTGCAATGGAAGTCAATGTGGACATTTGTGTGAAAATTTTGAGCCATATCTTGTAGCCTAGGTTGCTCTAGTAGTTCCCTGTCTTAGAAGTTTCAGTAATTACATGGTATATACATATAAATCTACTATAACAAGATTGTCCTTTTTGTGGTGGTCCGTGTAATGAGGATAATCTTTTTAAGGAAGGAAACAATTTTTTTCCCGATTTAGTTAACGAGTGTATAAGTATTCTTTATTTCCTTTTTCTTTTCATATGTAATTATGCATTATCTTGCTTTCTTGGTGTGTCATTTATCTAGTAGTGTATATTGGAATATACTCTGGAGTTGTATTTTCTGGATTGCTTCTTTTATAGATATTTTGAAAGTAAGTATTTCAAGTTTAGCATGCAAAGATTTCGTTTACGTACTAACATTTTTTGTCTATTTGCTTCTGTTATTCTTTTGCAGGGTTAGCGAATCTCTCAGTCTCAGGTTAGTCTTTTCTTTCTGCTCCAATTCTTGAGGATCTTAAAATTACTTATTCCTTTCTTTGCTGTAGTCATCTATTGGTTTTCTAATTTCGTTTTCAATTTTGTAGAGAGAAGTTTAGTTGAATACCATAATATATTCATGTAATTTGCCGATCCCTTAAGGCAATATTCTGAACAAACGAACAATTTTATGGAATTTTGACGTAGTCCTGATTCAATTTAGAATATTTTGTTTCGGATCTACTTGAAAATGTTCACACAAGATCTCAATCTTTCTTAGCTACACTAAATGTGGACTTCCAAATGACTTTGATAGAAATCGTTCATTTGTTCTAAACATAGCCCAAGGCAATCGGATGGAAAAAAAGCAAATATACCTATGCTGTCTTTTTCTTTTTTCTTTCTGGGAGGGAGGTTATTTGAGGCAAGTGGTAAAAAGAGCTTTGACGTATTTCTGTTAGTTATACATTCTGCACGAGTCCTGTTTTATCAACTAACTCAAGTATGGAATTCAAAATTTCGGCTGAGCCTTACTGTTCCATAAGTGTTCCATAGGCAAAATTTGATGAGTAATAGCTCTTGGTCTTCGCTGATGGTATCTTTACCTGACCTATTTTTCTTCCTTCTCCGTTATTATTCTCCATAACCTTTTTGTCTATTATTCCCTTTCTTAGTCAGTGTCTGTAGTTTTGGTTCTTTACTCCTTTTATATGACTTTATGTCTTTTAATCTATATTCAACTTCTACAGAATTTTACTACTGATTTCTTCATAACCCGACATTGACAATGGTGATATTGCAGATTGCGGAAGTGATGACCCGGACATAAAAGAGGAGATGGAGAAGCAGTTTGTGGACCTTCTGACCGAAGAACTAAAACTGCAAGAAGCAGTTGCAGAAGAGCACAGTCGTCATATGAACGTCACCCTTGCTGAAGCGAAAAGAGTCGCTACCCAGTACCAGAAGGAGGCCGAAAAATGCAACGCTGCAACAGAAACGTGCGAGGAGGCAAGAGAGCGAGCTGAGGCATTGTTGCTAAAGGAGAGAAAAGTGACTTTTGCTTGGGAGCAAAGAGCTAGGCAATTGGGTTGGGAGGGTGAATAAAATTGTGAATGTAGGGAGAAAAAAAGAAGAGATTTTTCCAGTTGAAGTAGAGAGAATTCTTAAATGGGTGTTTATACAAGCAAGGAAATTGCTTTAATTGTCAAAGGCAAAGCCTTTTTACTCACTCTTTTTATATCATGTAGTTGAATTTTATACCCCTGGATGTTTTGTATCTTTCTGTATGTAGTTTGTCTTGGCTTGTGATGAGACCGTGTTTGGCTGTGCCAATCTGTTCTTCTACCATAATACCAGCTCTGATTTCTACATATCCCCCATTGTTGCAGCAGCAGAACAAATCCCACAAAATATTTTTCTGGGATCTAGTAGAATCTTTTAGTTGATAATTATAATTTACAACTAAGAATTCTCTCAAGTTATATTAATGGAAACACCATATTAGGTCATTATGATGTAATTTAAATTACATTTTGGATATCCTTGCAATTTAACCTAATTTTTTATTTTTTCATTTTTTGTTATACATCTGGAGTCTTAGACATGTATACTCCAAAAAAAAATGGAAATTTAGAGAAAAATTTTAGAGAAATATGGAGAGATTGAGATGGAGAATTTGAGAATGAAGACTGAAATTCTTGTATTTTCTTACCATTCCCGTCAGATTAGCGAGCGTTTCGTCGAATCTCGTTGACTCTAATACTAAGTTTTATCGTAAGAAAATACAAGAATTTCAATCTTTATACTGAATTTCTCTGACTTCTCTCTAAATTTCTATTTTTTTGGTATATATGTCTCAGGTTTCAGACAACTTTGTTAGTTTTTAGAAGGCATTTGTATTTGTTTGAATTTTTAAACAAGAATATTTAAAATTTTGAAGCTAAATAAATAATAGTAATAGAAAATTAAAGTAATATAGATAATAAAGATAAAATCACATAAGAAAATACCCATTAAAGTCAAATTAAAGGAGGTTAAATTATAATTTACCCAGAATTTTTTAATTTACTCAAATTAAAGGATGATAAAAACCTATTTTTAGAAAAAGCCCAAATTTGGGAGAAACAAACAGAGCTCTTCTACAAAATTGTTCGTGTGGGTTGTGGACCAGCTTTTGACTTTCTTTACTCAACAAACAGAAATTGCAGAGAGAGACAGAAACAAATAAATAAAATAAAAATATATAGTCAAATGGTCTGAGCTCGTCAGATCATGTCTCACAGACCAGCCATTAACGCGTTTTCAACTTTCCATGTTCATGCACTCACTCTCATACCCAGCTGTTCTTTCTTCTATTATAAAACTACACACACTCTCTCATCTTCCCACATGTATTAAACAAAAAGAAAGATTGTTATTTTAATTATTATTATTATAATCATGATCATGATCGGAAGCCAAGTCAATATTTCAATATATCCAGATCTACCTTCCTAAAACTGATCAAACCCAGATCTTCTTTACTCCACTTGTACTAGTTTTTACTTGTTTTTGCACTACCCAGATCCATAATCCCCATGGAAACCTTGTTTTCTTAATTGGGTCTGGTCTAAATCTTCCCAAGGTGGATTCTTCATTGCTGCTTTTCTTCGATCTTCTCCGTTGAACTTCTTTTTATTTTTTTGTTTTGGAGAAAAGTACTATTTCTTTTTATAAATTTGGAAATTGCTTAGACAGTGAAGAGCAGAGTACTGTAGTGGGGTTTCGTTGAGTTTCCTTACATGGAAAATTCGAGGAACAAGCGAGGATTTGAATATGGTCGAGAGGATGTTGACCATGTCCCTGGATCTAAGAAACAGAAGCTTCCTGCACTGGCAAGGTATATTAATCCTCTTTCTTTTTTCATATATATAGTTGAATGGTTATCCACTACGACTTGTTTTTTTTTCCTATATGCAGAACCATTTTTAGGAAGAAAGTGTAGGTGATTAGATTTGGATTTGAAGTTCTTTCCATTTTCATTTTCATTTTCCTGTTCTTTTTTCCTTTTTACACAAATGGGTATCTACTGAATTAGTTTCTTTGCATCTTTGGGATTTGATTATTATACTTTCTAACATCTTATAATCATGATATGAATTGTGCTTAAACCCTAAAAATATTAGATTCATTTTTGTCTTGAAGAATATTGGCTTGTCGGGTCTTGTGAATAACAACAAAAATAGCATAAAGATAAGTTTATGAAATGGGGATGTCATTTTACCCAGTGGGTTGATAGAATTAGTTGGTTGACACAGAAGAAGACAAGAAGAAAAGGGCACTTGTAGATAAGTACTGGTAGATCTTTCTCTTTAATGTGGAATAGAATAACTTTTCTGGGTCTGGTTAGCTTATAGATAAGTTTATTGCACTTTTAAGTTCAGTGTCTTAATACTTTTTCCATTTTGTTTAATTTCTTTTCACTAGTGTCCGGTGTCAATTTGTCGAGTCCACTGCAATGATGAATGAATCAATTTATATGCAGCGTGATTGTGGAAGCTGTCAAGGTGGATAGTCTGCAAAGACTCTGCTCATCATTGGAGCCTCTATTCCGCAGAATTGTGAGCCACTATATTCTTCTTGTTAATCTTAGTTATTTTAAAGTGAAAATTTGCATATTCTTAATTGGTTGTCTCTTGTTGGATTTGTCAATCGTTAGGGTTACTCACAATATATAAAATGGCCTTAACAACAATTATGATTGAATAAAACGGGATTAATATTTTGTTAATCCTATATGTTTTGAATGATAAACAGGTAAGTGAAGAGATTGAGCGTGCTTTGTCAAGGTTGGGGCATGCTAAATTGGCTGGCAGGTGCTTTCCTAGACTGGCATTTTAGTCCAAGTCATAGCTGATCTATTGTATTCTTTATCTTTTTTCCTTTTGAGGAACATTTTCGTTCTTTATATTAATTTTTATTATCCTCGTATAAGTTCTAGACATGATGATTAACACATCCTCGCTTGAAAGATTAGTATCTTTATCATTCAAATTAGATTGGTAAACTTAGTTTCCGTTGACCATGGACATAAACCTTGTCTTATGATTAAGGCTGTTCAACAGAAAGATGTAGGTAGATCCAATAGAATATTGGTATAGCCTGATAAGATGGGTATATAATCTGTGAACAAAGTCAATAAGATTGTAGAATTATCTAAATTTTAACCTGGATATTGTCTAGGTTCAGTAGATTTTCACCGAGAAGTTTGTCAACTAACATATTGCATTCTGTTCATGACAGATCTCCACCACCAAAAATACAAGGGCCAGATGAAAAGAATTTACAACTTCATTTCAGGACAAAAATGCCACCTCATTTATTCACTGGGGGAAAGGTTGAGGGAGAACAAGGAGCAGCAATCCATGTTGTTTTGATAGACATGAAAACTGGCAATGTTGTTCAAACTGGACAAGAGTCAGCAGCCAAGCTAAATGTCGTGGTGCTTGAGGGAGATTTTAACGAGGAAGCTGATGAGGATTGGAGCAAGGAGCATTTTGAAAACTATGAAGTAAAAGAGCGTGAAGGGAAAAGGCCACTCCTGACTGGGGATTTACAAGTGACCCTCAAGGAAGGCGTGGGAAGTCTAGGAGATCTTAGTTTTACAGACAATTCCAGCTGGATTAGGAGCAGAAAGTTCAGGCTGGGTCTGAAGGTTGCCCCTGGATATTGTGAGGGCATTCGTGTTCGCGAAGCTAAAACAGAGGCTTTTGCTGTTAAAGATCATAGAGGAGAACGTGAGTTTTCAATGTTCTTTTCTTCATGATTGATTTGGCAAATGTTTAGCAATAAAGTGAACTTTTTTTTTTCCCGAAAGGAGAATGTTATTAACAAGACTCTAAGAGGGTGCCACCCGAATACCAAAGTATTTACAGGAGAACCGACCAAAACATCTACAAACTCTCCTATGTCTTCTATGTTGTTTCCTCTAGATTCATTGTTTGTTTATTGCTAGCTGTGATGGATTGAGTCAATGTAGCGGATGGACTGTTTTTCCTTAATGGCAGATTTAAATATTACTTCTTTTCGGTCATTAAAATAGTTAGAGGTAGTACATTCCAATGCATAAGGAATTGTCACCTAAAGAAAGAGGCTTGAACAATCAATACAACCTTTAGTTACTTATAAGCATCTTTTTTGCTATTTCTGCTCTACTTATATTGATCTGTAGTGATGAGCAAATTCTTCCTTAACTTGCAGTATATAAGAAGCATTACCCACCAGCTTTACATGATGAAGTCTGGAGACTAGATAGAATAGCAAAGGATGGAGCACTGCACAAAAAATTACTTAAGGCTGAAATTGTTACAGTTGAAGATTTCCTCAGGCTTCTTGTCAGGGACCCACAGAAATTAAGAAATGTAAGTATTTCCCACTGTTTTTTTCTCAATTCATCAATCAATGTGTTTATAGAACATCAGAAGCTTCTTTATTCTAACTTAAATATTCTTTCATTTGATGCTATTATTTAGATCCTTGGAAGTGGAATGTCCAACAGGATGTGGGAGAACACGGTGGAGCATGCTAAGACTTGTGTATTGGGTGGAAAGCTATATGTCTATTATGCTGATGGAAGTCATAGAATGGGTGTTGTTTTCAACCATATTTATGAACTTAGAGGCCTGATTTCCGAAGGACAGTTCCTCTCTTTGGAATCATTAAACGACAATCAGAAGGTGAGATATCCATAGTCTAGAATGCGAATTAGTTATATTTGTTGGTCTACTTGGTTTATCTTTATTAGAAATCAAGACAGGTAGCTTTTGAACTTTAGGCCTATTTGAAAAACATTATATATATTGTGTGCAGATGTCAGTCGATTCGCTGGTGAAGAGAGCATACGAAAACTGGCATCAAGTCATAGAATATGATGGTAAAGTCCTGAATTCGCTAACAAATCCTAAGAAGGTGATAAAGGCTTCAGCTGCAATTGACAATAACACCAACAGGGATCATTACACCATGACTACTCAGAGCAGGCAGCATTATATCCCCTCTGGACCGAGCCCACAATGCCAAAACGAAACTAACCATCCTTCAGTCCCTCAATTGATTGAATTTCCCTTTGTTCGATCTGATCAGAATGCAGAGATGACTCTAGACAATCCCCTAGCAGCATTACCCAGCAGCATTGATTGCATGTCAGTTGGGAATTCAGCAGTTGGGAACTCTTATTACGCTGGAGATTGGTCTCGGGCAAGGAATGGACAAGGTATGGAAGACTTTTTTGCTGAGGAAATCCGACTTAGGAGTTCTGAGATGTTAGAGAGTGATGACATGCAGGGATTGCTGAAGACATTTGGTGTTGGAATGGGATCTGGGTTTGGTCATCCTGGTGAGGTTTGCTATTCCTACAGCACTCCATACGAACCTCAGATAAATCATACGTATGAGCAAGACCGCAGCAGGGGATCTGGAAAGGCTGTTGTTGGATGGCTTAAACTAAAAGCTGCTCTAAGGTGGGGAATTTTTGTAACGAAGAGAGCTGCCCAGAGAAGAGCTCAGCTTGTTGAGCT